CAGGGATCAGATTTCTTTTGAATTTGATGAGGTATTACCAGTTGAAGCCAGTTTAATGGGTAAAAGAAATGTCAGGTTGTGCAGTTAGAATAATAATAATTAAAAAAACTCAGAGTTTAAAAGACAATTAAGCATATTTTACATAGAGGAGAAAAAGCATACATAGATTTCACCTCATTATAGATAGCAAATGTTAAGTGTAGGAATAGTCTACCGTTGTGCCCTGTTTTCTAAAAAGTTAATATACTACATATCCAAAGTTGCAAAGCATGCATGTTTTTAATTCTAAAAGGAGCCATCTTGTATTGTCTTTAAAAGGTCAGTTTTCTATGGAAATAGACCTTTGATTTGCCATAATTACACATATAAGGAGATTTTCAGGAATATATTTGTGACTTAAAGACCCAATTAAGAGACCAACATACTTCACTACACTAATTTCTTTTAGCCACCCCAAATAGTATGATTAAAAATAGAGGATTAGGGGCTTCCCTGGTGGCGCAGTGGTTGAGAGTCCGCCTGCAGATGCAGGGGACGTGGGTTCGTGCCCCGGTCCGGGAAGATCCCACATGCCGCGGAGCGGCGGGGCCCGTGAGCCATGGTCGCTGAGCCTGCGCGTCCGGAGCCTGTGCTCCGCGGCGGGAGAGGCCACAACAGTGAGAGGACCGTGTACCGAAAAAAAAAAAAAAAAAAAAATAGGATTAAGGATCTCAGAGTGAACAGAGAATTTAGCTCCAAAAAAATGGTCAAGACTGACAAGAAGGATGAAGTCTTATAAATACTAGATGAGCTTTTAGTGTCCCATCAGGACTATTTCTTCTTAAAAGATTCTTCACCTTGACACTGAAAAAAGATATAAATTAGGGTGATTTATGCAATAAATTCACATCTCAATACTCGTTTTCTGAATAAACAATTTCCTAGATGCCACCAGCCACTCTGACTCACTGTTTTAAACTGAAATACCTTGTGGAAGATACATCCAGAGAGCCTGGCCGCAGACCAAACCATAAGTCTCCCAGTAACAAGGGTGTTTCCTGGTCTCTGGTCTCTGACCATCACACCACAGGGTTCTGATTGGTCCCTAGATGCATTGTAAGGCACAGGTGAGACCCATAAGAAGATCAGAGCCCACAGTATGCTCTCAGCAAAATGGGCAGAGTTGTAAGTTGAAATAAAGGTATCCATACAATGGAATATTATGCAGGTGTGTGTGTGTGTGTGTGTGTGTGTGTGTGTAAGTTCACATGTACTGACATGGAAAACTCTCCAGAATATGTTAAGTGAAAGAAAAAAAGGTGCAAAATACTGTATGTAGTATCATACTTTTGCTGTAAAAAAGGGAAGGGAGTGGAAATATAGTTTTGAATTTTATTATATTTGCATATAGGAACACGTTGATAAAAATCTACTAAAAGTGGTTCCTTTTTGGGGGTGACAGAGGAAGGAATAGGAAACATGCATTCAAAATAAGACATCCCAAGGGGTACCTTTGTATAATATTTTGATTTTGAAACACGTGAATTTTTCGGGTAGTGAAAAACAATTCATTCGATGAAACAAACTCAGCAACACTCTTCCCATATTGCAGTCTGCGGTGATAAATCGTTAAAATATTCTAAGCCTGATTTTCTTAGTTTGTAAGCTGTTTCAAATGCTGTTTTATACACGGGTTACTTTGAGGGCCACTGAATTAGATTCGAGAATGTTCTCAGAATCAAAATGGCCGTTCCCTACTCACGCTGGCGCTGGCCTTGGGCATTTTAACAGCCACTTGCTTACATGCCTGCTCTAACAGAATTGACTCTTAATAGATAATCAGTTAAGGCAAAAGGACCTCAGTGAAGCACAGCAAGCCAGCTGTGAGTATCTGCCACTGAGTGTAAAAAACAAATCCAGGCAGCCATGGAAGAACCTTCTAAGCTGCATTTACATCATGTGGATCTTGTATTTTGCCATCTCACTTACATTTTGCGATGCTGGTTTCCATTTCTGCAAGTCACCCGAAATTTTTTGTGGAATTTGGGCATTAAGAAAACAAGAACAGACGGAGCGAAGAGGAAGGGAGAGAAGGAAGGAGGGAGAAAAAGATGAGAAAACATGAATAGCGAGAATGGTGAAAGAGGGGAGAGATGGCACAGAAAAAGAAGGGTCAGTAGAGGAGAATCGAGAGGGAAAGGGCTTCTATTTTGTATTATGTATTAACAAAAGCCAGTTCATTCACCAGATGTTCGAATCATGAACATATTTTGTCAAAGAAACAAATTTAGGTTTCCAAGCTAGCCCACAAAAGCCTGTTGAACTTGAACGTGGCTGGCCTGAGAACAGGGGTTTCGTAGAAGAGTGCCCACTCCCATCCATAGGAGAGATACCTTTTTCTCATGCATTCCTGCGGGCTTGAAGGGTTGTAGGGAAACTTTTGAAGTAGACAAGCCCATTTCTAGTTCTGTGCCTTTCTTCCATGTCTTGCCTCCCCTTCCCTCGAATGAATGGGGTCTGGTTTCATGAGGCTTGAAAACCCTCATGGGGCCAATAGCCGACTGCTTCTTCCTTGTATAAAACCAAACCAAACCAAAAAAATCCCCTCCTCCATTCACCTTCCTTGTCTCAGTTAGACATTAGGGAGAAGTTTGCTAAGTTATATTCGTGTATTAATGATTGATTAACCTGTTCAGAAGCACTTCTCCGATCGGAACATCTTTATGAAAGCTTTGTGGCTGGTGGAGCCAGGCGGGCAGTTCAGTAAGGCCTCGGCCGGTCCCATCTGCCCAGACCAGCTCCTACCGTTCAAGGCTGCTCTCCCTCTGCCACCCCTCTGCCCTCCGCACACTTCAAGCTCATCCCAGCAGCTTAGAGGCAAGTTCAGCTGTGGTTAGTAACATCCGTTTGCAACCTCCCACGACATCCTGCACTCGCCAGTCAACAGTCAATAAATACTTGCTATTTGACTGGGTTCCAGGTACTTTTACTGCTTTACATTGAAAGTGGCTTTGAAAAGTAAGCAAAGGTTAAATGCGTGACAGTTTGGAAGTGAAGGCAGAAAACCTGCGTTAGGATTGTGTGCTGGTCATTGACTGTGAGACCCTGCACAAGTCTACCTGCAGTTTCCTCGTTTGCAAATAGATAAAGATTTACTAAGCACCTACTCCACGCCTGGCACCCTTCTACGTACTTGATGTACACTGAAGTCTTCACTCTTTATAACAAAGCTATGGGGTGGGATACGACGCTTATATTCCTTCTAGCTTCAGATCTAGGTTCTTAAAGGCTATAAGGCCCTGCCTGTCAGGTAAATGAAATAATGCTTGGGAAAGTGCCTTATGCATTATAGAAATGGGTATAGATGCTACTGAAATGGCAGAGATGAAAGTAACGGATATGGGAGTCAGAAGCAGGTGCGACGGGGACATGAGCATATGTGGTGAGGCCTTTCCACACTTTTAGGAGCAACCCATGGATACCTGTTTCTCATCTCTGTCTTTCAAAGAGCAGCCTGCTCCCAGGGGAGGCCTTTGGTTGTCCAGACCTGTCTGAGACCCGCTAGGAGAGTTGAATTCAGGTGAGGAATGTATTCAGCGCACAGATCTAAACCATATTCCCTAATCAGCTTCACCAGGAAAAGCTCACTGTGCCTTATCTTTCAATCGATTCTGAATTTAAAGGGGACTTATGTCCTTAATTATCATTCCCCAAATGCAGCAGTATCACGGAAAACTGGCAAAATAAATGTTGTTCCTCTTGTACCCCTTTCCTTTACATGAAGAATTGAGTTGGTTTGCCCATTAGTTCCATTTGTGGGGATAGTTCATGTACTGCACCCCTGTTGTGTCCAAGCACATGCTGGGCATTGAGGAAACATAACAAAAGTGGTGACCAAAAGGAAGCTCCTGGGAAGACAGGCAGAGAGAATGGTAATGCCAGTGTGGAAAGCACAAAGATGGCGCTAGACAACTTGAAACCTGCTTTGCTATATTTCTGCAAAGGTTGGCTGCGGGAGGGATTCCCTGGTGGCACAGTGGTTAAGAATCTGCCTGCCAGTGCAGTAGACACAGGTTTGAGCCCTGGTCCGGGAAGATCCCAGAGGCCGCAGAGCAACTAAGCCTGTGCGCCACAACTACTGAGCCCGTGATCTAGAGCCTGCGAGCCACAACTACTGAAGTCTGCGCGCCTAGAGCCCGTGCTCCGCAACGAGAGAAGCCACCGCAATGAGAAGCCCGCGCACCGCAATGAAGAGTGGTCCCCACTCGCCGCAACTAGAGAAAGCCTGCGCGCAGCAAAGAAGACCCAACACAGCCAAAAAAAAAAAGTTGGCTGGGGGAGCACTATTGGCATTCCTACTGCAAGACAAGAAATGGGTGATGTGTATCCCCACACTGACACACAAAGTTCCTGAAGCCACAATGCCCCTCAGATTCTTCCTTTGCCCTCATGGCCAGACTCTTAAAATAGGAGACCTGGGGCAGAGAGGCACATGGAGAAGATAGAAAGGGAAACAAGGAACCCGATGACACCTGCCTCCCGTCTTCAGTTTCACCATCCACCACTCAGAGAAACGGAGTCAAGTGTGTTCACAGCGACACAGTCAAATAAATGGCTTGGAGGATTTGCAATGATTGCATCCTTTCTTTAAAAAGCTCTAGAAGCCACAGCTTAGGATAGCAAGGAGTCCCAGGGAGAATGCCAAGGAAGTCAAAGGGAAGGACGTGAAGGGATGGAAAAGGAATCTCTGCTCCAGGATCCAGAGTGAGCAAACAGAAGGCCACAGGGCGGATTAATCGTTTTCCATGAGATTCCCCTGCATGGACGATGAAAGACTTGGACCACAAAAGCCTGAGGTACTGGAGGAAGAAAGTCCTCACGCGGCATCGTAAGGAGGATGGGGACAGCCAGCAGCCAGGGTGCAGATGCTTCTTCTCAGGGAGCTTTACAAACAGCTTTTCTTTCTTTCTTTCTTTTTTTCTTTCCTTTTGGCTGTGCCCCATCGGCTTGTGGGATCTTAGTTCCCCAACCAGGGATTGAACCTGGGCCATGGCAGTGAAAAATGTCAAGTCCTAACCACTGGACCACCAGGGAACTCCCCACAAACAGCTTTCCGAGTGACTGGCTGAGGGGGGATAAGGCTGAATGCCACCTTAAGTCATTCCAGTAAGTTCATTGTGTGCAGGCATGTTATTCAACACACGGTGGATGCTCAAAATTGGCTGGTGGCTGAAGAAATAAGCCCAGCCAGAAGATCCCAGGTTTTCTCAATGCATCTGTGATACCCCCTGCAATGCCTCCTGCTGTGACCCACAGAACGTCCCGCCCAGCTTCGCCGACTTCCACGGCATGCCTGGGCCTGCTTTCTAGACTGTGAGCTCTGGGAAGGCTGGGGCTTTCCTTATTTTCCTCTCTCAGTCTGCTACAGCCGCCAACTCAGTGCCTGATATTGAGAAGGTGTGCACCCTTCCATCCACCCACTCACCTGTGTGGTTTTATTTTTTTCCCAGTATCTCCTCCACTGATTTCTGGGAAATGCTCCTTCACTCATTCCAACATTATGGTTTGAGGGGGAATCTAACCTCCTCTAGAACACCTGTCCAATCTCATCCCAGATTGGACATGGGTACACATTCCAAAATGGTCCAGGGATGGACAACTATCCAAGCTGGGCCACTGAGTGCCCTTCCCAGAAGCCAGGAGCTATGTCTCCTTGTCCTCGAGGTGGGACTGAAAACAGAGGGCCAGAGAGTGAATGGCCGCCAGCTATGTGAAGAGAGCCTGCCTGAAACGATGCTGCTGACACTCAGAAAAAAGCGGAGGCAGGGAATGCAGCGCAGAGGCCAGTGGCATTTGGAGCCCTCGATGGGCATGCCTGCAGCCCAGCTGCACCCTCCCCCTTCCTGTGACCAGGCTCTGCGAGTGTGTAAGTGCCCAGTTTTCCCAGACCATCTGTGCAGATTGGGTTTTGCCACTTGCCACCCCAAGACTCCTGACTAACACATGGAAGGAATTACTATTCGGTATAATTAGGCCCCTGTGGAGCCTCAAGAACCACCGGTAAGCACGTGATCATTGTGTTCCTCCCCCCTCACGCTGATGGTTGGAATCTGCATCAATCCAAGAAACACATCAGACTTGCAACAGAGGTGGAGGGACACAGGGCTGCCTAATTCTGCAGAAGCACCAGCATGTGGGTAGAGGATTAAAGTTCATAGGAACAGGTCTTCCCTGGTGGCGCAGTGGTTGAGAGTCCGCCTGCCGATGCAGGGGACACGGGTTTGTGTCCCGGTCTGGGAAGATCCCACATGCCGCGGAGTGGCTGGGCCCGTGAGCCATGGCCGCTGAGCCTGCGCGTCCGGAGCCTGTGCTCTGTGAGGCCACAACAGTGAGAAGCCCGCGTACCGCACACACAAAAAAAGTTCATAGGAACAGAAAGCAATATTAAGAGCCTGGATAATTAAGAAGCTCCATGCAAGTACCAAAGAAAAGAAAGGTAAATGGAATAAAAAAAAAAAGAGAGAGAGGTTGAAAGATCATCAGAGGGTTGCTTCTGATCTAGGTACCAAGAGGGAAGGAACATTTTCTCCCAACTACCTAAGTGCCTGTGTCTCCCAGGGCAGCCTAGGACAGCAGCACTATTTTATCGTTGCTAAAGGTCAATGTAGTGCAGCGGTTCTCAACGTCTGGTTGCAGGACCAGAGCAGCAGCAGCACCAGGAGCTTGTTAGAGATGCAGATGATCAGCTCAGCCTCAGACCTGGCGAATTAGATTCCCTGCGGGGGAAGCCCAGCCATTTGTCTTAAGGAGCTCTCCACGTGACTCTGATGCACAATGGAGTTTGAGGAACACAGGCCAGTGTTTTGGCTAAGTGTGCAGCTCTGGTGCCAGGTTCTTAGGTTTCACAGGGCCCTGCAGCTGTGCATTGTGGTGTTCCCTGGGTTTACGGTCTGGCTCGGCCACTTATTACCCATGCAGCCTCGGGCAAACTGCTTAACCTCTTTGAGTCCCAGACGCTACATGTGTAAAACAGAAATAAGAGTAGTAGCCACTAAATAGTTGATTTGAGGATTTCATGAGACAATATTCATAAAGTACTTAGTTCAGTACCTAGCACATAGGATAAGCCATCCATAAATGTTGGTTATTTGTATTATTTTGCTGCTATTCTGATTGCAGGGCAGGGCCTGGGTGCAGGAAAGCTAGAGAGGACCCCTCCAGAGGTTTTGCTCTTCTAAAACACTCATTACCACCTGTATTTATTTTTTCTGTCTAGCAAACTCCTACTTATCCTTCAACACCCTGCTCAAGATCACCTCCTCTGCGATGGCTTCCCAGAGCTCATACTTTCTTCCTCAGGGCATCCTTCCTCAAAGCCCTCAGGCTGCCTGGAGATGACCACTGGCTCTTCCCCTTTCTAGCTGTTTGATCTTGGGAAAGCTTCTTTGCCTTTCTAAGCCTCAGTTTACTCATCTGGGGAATGGGATGAATTAATTGTATTCACCTATAGGATTGCCAGAGGGGATTAAATGAGGCAAAAGGTGTAACGGTACAATAGTACCGGGCATACAGTAAATGCTCAATAACTGTTAGCTGTGTCTCCTGGTGCCTGTCCCTCTGTAGGTACAGGATGGATGAGGGAATGATGAGTGAGTGGATATGGGGCATGGCCAGGTCTAGGGTGTGGTGAGGGAGGGCTTGCCTCAGGTGTAAAACTTCAGGGGACACAAGACACTCAGTTCCAATAAAAGTTGGAATCATTCCAATAAAAAAAAAGGTTTCAGTAAAACTTTATCTACAAACACTGACAGATGGTCCATGGCCATACTTTGCTAATTTTATTTTTTTCAAATATTGCATTAAAATATGATTTGTCTTGAGTACTGAGGCATAGGGCATGGGACACCAGGGTTGACTCTGCTCTTTCTCCCCTGGCGGACCCTGAAAACACAGGCCGTGCTAGAGAACCGCATCCAGCAACCAGCAACGTGGAGCTCTTCCTGCTTCCCCATCAGTCTTAAGGTCAGCGAAGGGGCCAGGGTGCACTTTCTGCTCCCTGCCCGTGGCCTGGGGCTGAGTCAGTCTGCTCAGAATGGGCTCCCTCCTAAACTCAAGACAGAGTTTTTAAAGCGAGTATAAACTCAAAGCACACTGGCGTTCAGCTGCAGTTTTTAGATCACATCAGAAGAGTATTTATACATATTCAAACACATATCCACATCCATCCATATATCTATATAGGTTTGGCATCGGTATGTTCTAAAATTTTCAAGGATGTACATGTCCATAACAAAGCTGAAAACAGTCACCTCTTTCCAAAACACAAGTGTTCCCACTTCCGATGCCTTTCTCATCCCGAGGGGGACAGTCCGAGGCCGTGCCAGCTTTTTGCGGGGGGTTTCGCCTCATTAAGGAGCAGCCTGTTTCCTAGCACACATGCCATCTTTGCTGGAGGGGCAACCACTACCTGATTGCTTGTGCTGACAGAGACAGGCCTAATTCTGGGGTCCATGTTTCTGTACAGCGGCAGCTGTGAGAAGAAAGGGGTTTTTTTCTTACAGTGATGGTACACTTTGCAAACCGTGGCAGGGGATTTCTTTCCTTCTCCTTTTCATTAACGCACCTTGAAAATGGAAGCCATTTACGGAAGTGAGAGCTGTGTGCTATGGTTGCTTGGGCCAGGTAAACAACATGTGTCACTGTGCTGATTCAAGATCAGACCAAATCTGGGTTTCCCTTTCTGTCTCTGGCTGACTTGGAAGTCACCGGGTCTTTGTTCTTTGTGGCAAGCATGGTTCTGAGTGTGTCCAAGGCGAGACAAAGCCCCCGGGAGAGGCTGATAGGGTTTGGATCAGACACGATTGCAGCATCCCGCCACACAGCCATTGCCTTGGCCAGGCCTGTTAGCAACACGTCGGGCACATTTCCATCGCTATAGAGCTCCTGGGCGTGCCCTTCAGGGTTCTGAACCCGAAACTGTCCTTGGCACTCCTCCTGCCAGGCATGGCCTTGACAAGAGCCACGTCCCACAATGCTCTAGCTCTCAGCTTCCGAACTGTTATCAGAGACGTGCCTCCACCCTGGGTTCTCACTGTGCCCTGATCTCTCTCTTGGTTGCTTGGACCACTCATGCCTTACATCCTTCTTGCTTGCCTCTCTCCTCCGCTGGAATCTAGACTCCAGGAGGGCAGAAATAGCCTCTGTCTTGCACATCACCATCACAGTGCCAGGCACATAGCAGGTGCTTAATAAGTGTTTATTGAATGACAGAATCTATATGAAAATGAGTCTTCAAGAAGCTTGCCCAGGCCAAGGCTGGTTACACACCACTGGAACCAGCTTCGAGTCAGGCAACCCTGTTCATTGCTGGCTTCATCCTGGGCAAGTTAGTTAGCCATACCAAGCCTTAATTTTCCACTTTGTAAAATGGGGATAATAATAACTACCTCATAGAGTTATTGTGAGACTAAAATTAGATACACAGACCATATTTTATTTTGACAGACTATTATTATTCCCAATTATTTTCTGCTTTCCCAATAAGAGGATGATATGTCCCCACTCATTACCAAGAGACTTGGCAGTACTGCCCTATGGGAGGAATATACTTCCCTACCCTTTTGATGCAAAGCTTGGTCACATGATTTGCCTTGGCCAGTGGAATACAAGCTACATATGCCACATCCAAACATGAACTTTAAGAGCTATTGATGGTTCTGTTATTTCTTTTTCCTTCTGTCATGAGAATAGCATGTGCTGTACAGAGGCAGATCCTTCTCCCTGGGTCCTGGCATGAAGATGAAGAGCTGCAGCCACCCCACATCCAATATGAAGCATAAGCAAGAAAGAAACCTTTGCTGGGGCTGTTTGTTACAGCAGAATGACCTAGAGAAGAAGCTGACTGATACACAGTGCCTGGCACAAAGCAGGGGGTTAGTAAACCTCTGTGGTATAAACGAACACACTGGGATACCTCTACCAGATCAACTGCTCCAGCACTTTGGGTTTGTTTGGGTGTGACAATCACTAGAATAAATTCAAGGTGGCATTTTGTGGCATAAAAGGAAAGTAGACTTTTTTTTTTAATGGGATGC